AGGTGCCAATTCTCCAAACAAAACCTATGCAGGCAAATACCTAGACCTATTAGAAGCTTAGCAGATTACTGAAGTGGCAACTCGTAAGAGCAGCACCCTGGCCTTTACAATCCATGCATGCAGGAGTGGGGTAATATGGTCAAAAACATAGTCATTAATTTTTTTAAAAAACCCTTTGCCTTTATTATACTTGAAGGTTAAAGTCTATACAATGTGCTGAGGCATATGAGCAACAACATGCAGCGACCTGAGGAGGTCAGCTACCTTTGATTTCTGCGACTCGAAGGATAAGGCACCTCTTTGCTGCTGAGACTGGAGGCAACAGTCCAGGGTCCAAGATACAGTGAGCTATTGCAGCTGATTTCATAACAGTACTTCCAGTTCCAGCTGCCTGCTGTTGCCTTATTTCCCTCATTCTAGAATAGCCTTCTCCAATCTGGTGCCCTCCAGAAGTGTTGGAGCACAGCTTTCAGAAACCTCTCTACCAGCTGGAGGATTTAGAACACCTGATTGGGAAAGCTTTTGTTAAAAATTCAAACAAAATTCCTGCTTCTCTCACTGAACAGGTAGCAACAACCATGGCCACTGCCACTGGCCCTGTGTGGGCTTGAAGATGCTATCTGCCTTGCTTGCAAAAGTACCACTCTTACCGGGCCATGGGGGAAGCATTCCTAGGCTTCTCAGCTATTGCTGCATTGTTGAAAGGCACTTAATTCTCTTAAGGAAACTATGTAATATCATGTAAGACATTTTATTATAAATATAAAATTCCACAGAGGAAATGCTCAGTCCATCAATATTGTTTTTTGTAGTGATGCCAATTTGCAAGATTAGCAATTAAACCACTTCATCCCGAAGTTACACTGAAATACAATCATTGTACTATAGCCTTCCCCAACCTGGTACCCTCCTGTTAATCTCCCTCCAACTCCCAGCATTCTTGAACATTAGTCACACTGGCTTTGACTGATGGAGTTCAAGTTCAAAATGTCTGGAGGGCACCAAGTTGGGGAAGGCTGCCATACAGTTATGAAAGTTCAGAATAATTAGAAGCATCGATACAGGCTACACAATGTGTTAAGAATCAGTATGATCTACATTAAGGGTGTGAACAAAATCCAGGTAGTAATTATGAACTAGATTGCTCAATCTCAAGTACATAGTGAAAAAAATCTTAATTAGTCTTAATGTAGAAAGCATGCTGGATCTAGTCCATCTAGTCCAGCAGTCTGTTCACACAGTGACCAAACAGTAGCCATAGGAAATCCACAAGAAACTACAGCACCCTCCCACCCATGCTGTCCAGGAATTAATTTGTATATCGACACACTGTCAGTATACAGCCATCAAGACTAGCAGACCTTGGTAGCATTGTCCTGCATGGATTTGTCTCTCCTTTAAGGCTGTCCAAATTCATGGCCATCACTATATATTTTAGAAGTCAGACATTAGTGGTGTGAGATATACTTCCTTTGATCTGTTCTGAATTCTCCACCAATCAGCTTCTAGTATAATGAGAAGGGATACAATATTTCCCTATCCACTTTTTCCACACCATGCATAATTTTGTAGATTTCAGTCATGTCTCCCTTTACTCACGCTTTTTCTAAGCTAAAGTGTTTTATACTGCTATGTTTACAGACTAATCATATGCAAGTAAATTACAGTGACTTAGGTTAAGTTACTTGGGCTGTAATTAACACACAAGAACTTACTTTCAAATAAACAGGGCTAGACTCACTGCTAAGTGGTTTTTTAAATTTAAATGCCACACTCTTTTACTGGAGGTGGTGCAGAAAAAAAATAATTACTCCAAAGCAAGCATGCCTAAAATTGTAGTCCGAACCATAAACAAGTTTCAGAAGAAATTACTGTAAGTTACATATGCATAAAGTTATAGACCACACGGAAATGTAGATAATCAGGAGCCCTGAAGAGGGGGGAAATGGGGGTCAGAATAAACAAGAGGAAAAGTGAATCAAGGACACATCGGCTGCAAATAAATGGAGGATCCTGAGTATTAGCATCTCAAGCACACTGAAGTCTCATTGCCTTGACAGTGTTTAATATGAGGATTGCCAACAACTTCTTCTGGTACCAGTTCCACTCAGGTAACATTAACAATTGCATGACATGATAAAATAAGCAACACTTTTTTGTCATGGAAGCAGAAAGTGATAGGATGAAAGCTTCACCTTATTTTCTGAGTTTCAGGTAATTATTACAAGATATAGAAGCAGGTCCAGTAAGATGTTGATGGATCTTTTTCTCTTTTTAACTGTATTGAATGTCAACAGCACAAGCCTGATCTGAAAAAGTCTGTTATGTTATGCCTATGTAAGGAATTGGTTCATTACCTTTGATAAAAAATAAGTGAAGAATAGAAAACTAAATGCAATGGACTGAAAAAGGCAGGTGCATGTACTATGCCCTAGTTGTAATCTCCCCATCCCCTTCAATAAACTATACATGGTATGCCTTAAAAGCCATATATAGATAATGCCCTTGAACCTAATCTGCTGCAAGCATACCACCACACTCAGCAATTCTGAATTAGTCTGCCAGTGTAACCTTTTAGGTAATGTCAAATGAGAAGCACAGTAGAAGTAGTGTCATATTATGAAATGCTTTTGTCAAAAACCACAGAGAAAGAGCGAGAGAGCGAGTGCGCTGTTTCTTTGTGAATGCTGAAGGAGCCTTACTATAGGATTCTGTTCCATGTTTAAAATGGACCTGCTCCTCTGTCATTTCTTTGCTAGTACATGAAGATCATTTTATTCTACGTTATTCTAATTATACAGTCTCAGTTCCTGAGTGGCCAGGTGTCCTATTTGTCAGAGTGTACTCCTTTGTTTGAAGGGTTCTGAAAGAGGTGCGCGGGCAACTTCTATTGAAGATTGTCCAATTGGTTGAAAGTCAAAGAAACCCAAGCAGACGTCAATTGCAGCACCCCAAAAGTAATTGGCCAGAGGAAGGCCCCAAGAATAGTTGGCCACAGGGAGGCCACATAGTAAAAACACCAGTTATGCTGTCCTAGAAGAGAGGGGGGATAAGAACAAAATGAACTTTGTGTAACCCACAGCTAACAAACTAGTCTGACCTCAAACACAGTAATCAAAGGGACAGTGGAAACTGGGTATAGCAGCCATGAAAGTTGTAAATGTGCAGGGAGTAAGAACATGGCAAGCCTGTGTGAATCTCGAGCAGATAAGAAATCGACATGAGAAATGTCTGGTCCTTGACAGAAGAAAAGATTCTTTGAAGCTAATAGCAGTGGGGTGTGTGGCTACATTGATATATTGATGCATTAGATGTGTATTAGGTGACCTGATTGCTTACTTAGGGTATAAAATGCATGTACCGGGGTGTAACTTTCAAGACACTGCTTTGGGCTGAACATCCCATTTTGTCTCCCTTTATTCTATGTTGTTGCTAGTCGCAAAGTCGTGCCCCACCCATCGGGACCCCATGGACAACATTCTTCCAGGCCCTCCTGTCCTCCACCATCTCCCAGAGTCCACTTAAGCTCACGCTCCATCCAGCCATCTCATCCTCTGCCATCCCCTTCTTTTGCCATCAATTGTTCCCAGCATTAGGCTCTTCTCCAGGGAGTCCTTCCTTCTCATAAGATGGCCAGAGTATTTGAGTTTCATCTTCAGTATCTGGCCTTCTAAAGAGCAATCAGGGTTGATCTCCTCTAGGACTGACTGGTTTGATCTCCTTGCAGTCCAAGGGACTTGCAGGAGTCTCCTCCAGCACCACAATTCAAAGGCCTCAATCCTTTGGCACTCAGCCTTCCTTATGGTCCAACTTTCACAGCCATACATTGCATCTGGGAAAATCATAGCCTTAACTATACCCACTTTTGTTGGCAGGGTGATGTCAGGGCCGTCTTAACACATGGGCACTTACCTGTGGACCCCATATTAATCTGTGTATGTTAACCCTTGGAAAATTGGAAAACTTCCAAAATAACAGTAGTTGTAGTTGTCGTAGGGGCCCCAGTACACTGCTTTGCCCGGGACCCATAATGCTGTTAAGACAACCTTGGGTGATGTCGCTGCTTTTTAGTATGCTGTCTAGAATTACCATAGCTTTCCTCCCCAGGAGCATGCGTCTTTTAATTTCTTGGCTGCAGTCCCCGTCTGTGGTAATCTTGGAGCCCAGGAAAATAAAATCTGTCACTACCTTCATTTCTTCCCCATCTATTTGCCAGGAAGTGGGAGGACTGGATGCCATGATCTTGGTTTTCTTATTGAGTTTCAAGCCAACTTTTGCGCTCTCCTCCTTCATAAATAAAGCTGGTTTTGGCTCTAAGTCTCATCTCAGGCTCCTTTTGACTCGGGTCTGGGGTCAACCTGGGTTTGCCCTAGCTGTTGACTGGCTGAATTTGGTAACAGAGGGAATTGTGGCAGCACTGAACATGCCCACCAGTAATTAGCACCTGGTCCTAGTCTTCCTCACTCAGATGAGAGATTTATTGAATTTCTACCTGAATTATATGAAATCGCCAAACCAGTGTGGTGTAGACTTTAAGAGTGCAGGTCTAGATCTCAAGTGATCTAGGTTCTCATCCCCGCTTGGGCAAGTGAGTGACTTTGGGCCAGTCACATACTCTCAGCCCAACCTACTTCACTGGGTTGTGGTTGCGGGAATAAGACTGAGCGCAGGATACAAATGATTTAAGCCACTTTGAGTTCAGTGTAAGAAAAGCGGGATATAAATCTTACTAAAAATCAAGAAAATCTTTTTGCAAATATGCACCTCTGCATTCTCCTACATATGCCAACTGCATGGCAGTTGGCATCTTCCTCGGCCGTCTGTGGTACTAGCCCAGCGCGAGGAGCTCCTGGGCCCCCCCTCCCCCGCGGCGCTTCTCCGTCCAGAATGACTCAGCGGTGCTCGTGCCCGGCTGACCCTCGCCAGGAGGCGGCTTGTCCGGGCGCCTCTCCTCCCGCCTCCCTCCCTCTCGCCTTCCTCCCAAGAGGCGGCCGCAGCCAGAGCCCGCCGCTGCCGCTCGCTGCCGCCCGCGCCAAACACCAACAGGCGTCGCCAACCGACGCGCGCGAGCCCGCAACCGGCCTGTCCCCCTCGCGCCGCTGAGCCGCCCCGCCGATGGACGCCGCCCCCGCCAGCGGCCTCCCACACGGGGGCAGCCCCCCGCGCGCGCCCCCCGTGTGGACCCTGAAGAGGGGCTGCGACGTGCTGCGCGACCCAACCCTCAACAAGGTGAGCGCAGGCGGCGGCGAGTCCGCTTGGACGGGAAGCGCGGGGAGCTCGACGGCTCCGGCCGTCGGCTTGGCGGGTGGGCTGGAGCGTGCTTCCCGCCTCGCACCCTGAAGGGGGCTTCCCTGCCGGGGAGCGAAGGCGCCCGGCGCCCGGCTCGCTGTGACGGGCTTCCTTGGAGCGGCAACTCAGCCCGGCGGAGGCGCTTTCCCCAGCCGGGTGGCATTTTCTGCCTTGGCTCCGCCCCGCCTGCTGAGCCTTCTGTCAGCCGAAAGGGGAAACAACCAGCCTCTCGCCTGCCGAAGCGCATGTACGCTCCGCGCCTCCTTCGGGCAATTTCAGCCCGGCTGCTTCGTTGTTGCTGGAAAGGCCAAAACAACAACAACCCTCCCCGCCAGTCAACAAGCCTCCTTTGCCCCGTAACTCCTCCGCTGAAGCTGCCAGCTGGCTGTCCTGTGGTGGTTCGTGTGGGCTGTATCCCACTGTATCTCACATGCTGGTTCTACTTAGAGTAGACCCAGTGAAATGAAATGAGGCTTAATTGCATTATCGTTAGATGCAGCACACTCCGTGAAACGTGAGCACACAGAGATACACTTACAGTGAAATCCTATACACGTCTGCTTAGTAGCAAGCCCACCCCCCTTGAGTTCCGTGGGGCTTCGTCCTAGGTAAGTAAGTGCAGGATTGCACCCTCATAGCCAAACTTGAGTACAGTGGCCAGCTGCTCGGACAGAAGTCCAGCCAGGGCTTTAACAGCACCCTGTTGGGCAGGTAAAAACAGGTAGGAATTGGTATCTGCGGAGTAAACTACTGCTAGGCAGCGAACAGTTCAAACGTGTAACTTCAAGAGAGAAGGTGCTCATCAGCAACCCTTACCAGCCGGATTCTTAGTGCTGCTGACTGCAACATAATCTTATGGGAGCAACAGCCGGCTCTGATCAGCCCTTGTTCTTGGCAACACAATGGAACTTGTGTACATCTCCCATGGGCAAAGGTTGCTGCCACCTTTCCAGTGCTAGGGCATGCTATGGTGCTCTGTACTTGTTAGTTCTGTACTATTTCTTTCTCTTAAATCCCTTTCTCTGCAGAGATTTTTTCTTTGTGAATTGTGAAGAGAGCTTCTGTTATAGGGCAGTATAGAAATGAAAGAAACTATTTCCCTCCAGGCAACATCCCCCACAGTATTCTCAGCTTTACTAGCCTGTTAGATACAGATGGTTTTGCTTGGTGGGTAGGGTTCCAAACAGAACAAAATATCAAAGGAAGTATATAAAAGATACATGGCAATGGAAGCGTGTGGTAAATATTTGTGTATAGTGTACATACATTGTAGCATATTGTGTAACTTCACTATATCATGTGGGACTAATACTTCCTGTAATTTTGATACTGAAACTGAGGCAATTAATCTTATGATTGCAATAAGGCATTTAGATCATTCATCATATAGGGTTTTATTGCCCAGGAAAAATACACAATGAACTGTTAGAATATGATAAAGGAAGAAGAGAATTTTTTACAAATTCTATGCTCTCCTTTGCACAGTATTTATTAGCTTATCATGGTGAGAAATAAGTGTAGGTATAATGTTACACATATTTATTCAACAGTAAATCCCTCTGTGTTCATTGACATATACTACCAGGTAAGTGTCTACTGGGTTACAGCCTGGATGGTACCAAGCTAGAAGGATGAACTGCATGACCTTATGAACTAGAAGAGCACAGATTAAAGTTAATAGTAGTTGGAGCTACTCATGTCAACAGTTTCATTGTTCTGTAAATTCAGAGAGTATTACTCAGTGTTGTTCCTCATATGTTAGCTTGTTAGAGAAAATAGAACAAATGGATTGT